TACTGAGATCTTTAAGCAATTCAAAGCTGCGCTGTCAACTAAAGTTTTCTATGTTCCCAAAAAACTTGGCTCGTTTCGCTCAAAGGAAATTAAAAGTTATAACAGTCAGATTAGGTAGCGACAGATATAGGTATATACATATATACATAGAGGTAAAAAGAAGAGGGTATTATACATATATACATAGATACAGGTGAGGTTTTTGTGCATATGTTTTAGTTTACTTTTATTTTTGTTTGTTTTGTTGTTTTGGGAAAATATTGGAAAATTACGATGAATTGCAAAAGTTTTGTTTAATCAATGATTTAATTTTTTTTGTTTAATTGTATAACTGGGCTGGGCTTGGCTGGGCTGAAGTGAAAAGGGAGATTCACAAGTCAAAGGACAACCCATTAACATATGCACAAACTTACCCATTACCCTGGGTGGGCATGTTTCATGATCAGGACCTGTTTAAATAGATATAACGCATACAAATATATTGCAAATATATATATATATATATATGCATCGAAACACGTGTGAGGCGTTACATAAATAAATATATAATTATATTACATAAATATATATATAAAGAGAGAGATAGAAGTAGAGTTAAGTTGCCGCCGTACTAAGGTTAGTTACAAAATAGAACAGTTTAGTTAATATTTAAATATAACTAAATATATATATATATTTATAGAATGTCTGTTTATAACTAGGTAATATTGAAGTTTTGTTGTACCTAAGTTGTATGAATTTTTTAGTCACAAGAGAGCTTAACTTTCATTGGGTTTTTGTTTTGCATTTTGTATTTAAAATTTTCTTTTAACGCTAAAAACTGCAACTGCTTTGAAGTAAACATAATCAATATAAAGATAGATTTATAGTTTAAAGATAGAGACAGAGAGAGAGAGATTGTATAGAACTTGAATTTGTACTCACAGAAGAGAACGGCAACAAAATCTGTATCCTCGATAATCTTTTGCAATATCTTGGCATTGACCTCCTCGATGCGATCGGGCAGATCCATGGCCTCGAGCGAGGTTAGAAAATCGAGCACGCCCTCCTCATCCATCAGATCGCCATCGTAGATGATGGGCTCCTTCTCTCTAGATTTACAGGGTACATTTGGATTTGTCATGTTTTTCTGTTTGCCTTAGTCTTTACCTGAAGTAGGTGAGCGCCGGGAAGGTCTTGATGCCATATTGTTTGGCTAGTCGTTTGTCGTTAATTTTCACAAAGTCCACACCGAATGAATCGGTGTCATCGTCGATTTTTTCGAGCTCCGCTAAAACCTTATCACAGGTAACACAGCTACGCGCATCTGCAAGCAATTAGAAACAATTGTATTAGCATATATTTTTTCTGTTTTGGTTTTTTTTTTCTTTTTGCTTCTATGGCAATCTTTATAGAGATACCAACGGGAATTGACGGCTAGCAACTGTCGCGTGTGACGCCAAATGCTGCGGCGATTATTCATAGCGCTTTATAGGGATGCATCATCGGTAATGCCATTAGCCACGCCCCCCGTCTTGTCCCCACACGCCCCTTAATCAACGGCATGCATGCATATATATAGAGAGCAAGAACCGCAAATGGCATTCTGGGCAGGCTGGCAGGCTGGGCGCCCAGGCTAGTGAATGAAATGACAGCAGCAGCAAATGAAATTGCATTGCTTTCTATATGGTACATGACAGACATACATACATATATATATATCTTATATATATTATATATGCTGTCTATGTGGTTAGCTATTAATGTGTGCACAACTGCCAACAGCATTTTGCTAAATTAATTCATAAAAATTTATGCAGCAACTATTAGGGAAATGAATTACAGCACATACACACACACACAGCTGTCTATGTATATGTGTAGGGTGGTTGCACGCCCCTCTATATATTATACAATCTACACTATCAATTCACAATTCACAATTCTAAAAACCTTTTGCCTAGTCAAAAGTAAATTTTGGCTTCTTTAATCCAAATTTTGTCAGTTAAAAGCGGTTTGCACGAGTTATATATACATAAATATATATCAGATAAATCTATAAAATACTTGAACTTCATTTGTTTAGCATAAAAATGCGTGTGTGTGTGCGTCTGCGTGTGTGGCGTACGCTTTTATGGCCGTCAAGTACACGAAACAGATGCTAAGTGCATATTACGTATACGTAATATTTGATTGAATCTGATTTGTCTTGATTACAATTTGCATTTTGGCTATATGTTACTTATCCATCAGTTTGGATTGCTTTCGCAACACATTGCAATAGCATTAATAGCACTTACTAGAAACAAATAAACAAATTTTGCAACATTTTTATTATGGCCAATTGCATTGGCAACTTGCAATGAGCTGCTATTTGCGTAGGCTCAATTTGCATTTTTATTGTTTCTTTGTATAAACAGAAAGTCTTGAATATATCATTGAAATTTCAAATAAATATATATCTCTATATATATATGCTTAATTTCATTTCAGTGTCAACAAATTATTTTTTTGGAAAAAATTTTAATAAATTTCAAGTTGATTTTTTTTGTATTAACTGGCGACATTGACAGAATTATTCATATATATTATTTATATATATCTATATGTGCTTGCATATATATTTAAAATTGTTTCCTTCAAGCGTAACAATATCCACAATCCGAAGGTGATTAACGTTTGGAAAACTTATTTAACATGTTTATTTCTAAGCTATTTATACGCTGCTAAATTATAGCCCTGCCGCGTTTTGTTTATGCAAAATTTAGTGCTCAATTTATATTATATAGATATACATATATAGATATATATCAATTTTTTATAAGCTAATAAATTCTTGAAATAAAAGTTTCTTTATTGCAAATGGAGAAAGTATGCGCTGTACGCAAAATACTTTCAATATACAAACTAAATTGGCCAATTAGTTAAGCTCTTGGCTAACTTATTTACTGGCCAATTTTTTACTCAAAATCTAGTGAATCCAAAGGCACAGCGACACACACGGCGCGTGAGAGCGATAGAGAGAAAGCAGACAGCACTAAAATAAAGCGGAGAGACGGCAATTTCTCATAGCCAAAAGCGTTTGGCTGCTCATAAACAGAACGCAAAGAAAAACCACTAGAGGGAAAAATAGAAAACTGAACAGAGACTAGCAACAAAAAAATAGAAAAAAAAATAAAAAAAAATAGAAAAAAAACTAAACCGAATGAAAATCTCAAGACATTTCGTACAACGAAATTTTTCACATATTTTCACTTGTATGCGAATTTTTAGAATTTTCACTAGAGAAAATTTATATAATATGGCTTCTGTTACTATTTCGAGTCGTGCACGGCCATCAGCCCGGATCTTAAAATCTCGCACATTACTAGACAACAACAATGGGTGTGCGTGTGTGTGTGTGTGTGTGTGCGTGCGTGTGTGTCTACTTACACCAGAAAACGGCAACATAATCCTTGTCGGCCAAGAGCTTTTCCAACTGCTTGGCATTGACCTCCTCGATAACGGCTTCGGGTTCGAGAGACGCCGACGCCGCCGCCGCCGGAGCTGCCGCTGGCTGTGATCCTTTTTTGTTAGCGCAATTCACATATCCGGGAAAACTCAGTGCCAGTAGCGTACACACGAGCAATGTAAGAGTTTTTAATCGCGTGAAAGTCATCTTACGATTGCCTTCAATACGACGGTTAATACAAATTGGCCGTTGCGACTTCAATTAACAATTTTTACTATTATTTTTGTTTAAACTCTTAACTCGAACATGCGTGCGTGTGTGTATTTATTTATATATATATTTATTTATATGTATATATATATATATTATTATAAGAATTTTTAATTTAATATTTCAAAGTTAGCAAAAAAATTCGTCGTTTTGTCGTTTTTTTATTGTAAATTAAGGCACTATTTTTAGTTGAAAAATCTTATTTCTTTCGCGTACACATATACATGGGCGAAAATATATATAGGTTATATATATATATATATATGAGAAAATTAGATTATATATATAAAGATATATATATATACATAGAGATATGTATATATATATATGAGTTTTCTATTAATTGAATGTTTTCCGCGGACTGTACTCTTTTTAGTTTTTCAATTTTGTTCCACTCCGTGCAGAGGTCCGCTCGCAACTGAAAGTCTTTTGGTGAACATTATGTGCCATTCAAGAGGCCTAGTCAAGCTTTAGGGATCTTATATTTCGGGCATTTCGAATCTTTTTTCATCTGTTCTTTTTGTTTCGTTTTTTTTTTTAGCTTTTTGGCATAGCTTTCGGAATGAGCGAGAGAGCGCCAAACGGAACGCTGCATGATCGTGGAAAGAGTGTGGTGAAATTTGATTAGAATTGAGCAAATGCTCCTCACATCCTCCGCTTTGCGTTGCAATTCTTTGTTTATGCACCTCGACACTTCGGTGTATCTATAGACGCTCGGTGGTCTTACGAAACTTCCTGTAAAAACAAAACAGACAATAGCATTGTAGCAGTATTGTATATATACGCAACTGTGAGAACGAACGTGGAAAAAGCAATTGTGAAATGCGTGAAATACATACATATATACAACAGCTGCGAGCACATTTGAGGGAAAACGAAAATCATAATTTTTGATTTATGTGTGCAAATGATGAGATCTATTTATTTTTTGATTACAAAAGTGCTACACATCAAAGTGAAATATATGTGAATCAATACAAATCGCAAAACTGAGTGCGGTAAAGTGATTCAAAAAGACGTTATAAATAGTTGTTATAAATGTCCACAATACTTATATTTTGAGCAATAGTGGCTAGCAATTTATATTTATTTGCATAAATACGTTTGTAGTAGTCATACAAAAAATATAAGAAAAAAAATTATTCATTATTCTAATAAAAAAAAGAAATAAAGAATAACAATAATAATTTTTAAATTGTAAGTATCATTGGCCTTTCAGTGTCTTTATAAATACAATCGATGCATAATAACGATATTCTATCGATATTTGAATGCAGCGCAATATATTTTGCCTTACATTGTTCGGTCACACTGCACACATATCTCAGAAATTTTGTTGGAGGAAGACGTCGCCGTCGCACTTAATTCCGTCAATTAAAATATTTTGGCCATAAATGCAAGTGCAAAAGACCAACAAACAAACGTTGGTATGCGTAGTGCATGCTAAATTCGTACCAAAAACCTCAATAGACGAATAGCTGTTTTCAGTGCGCTTCGAAAAAGAAAGGACAAGGCTTTAACAGTGCAAAGATAACGCGCGCATATAAAAATCGATTCGTATTTCTTCAATTTCAGGTAAAGTGCAAATTGATGAATGTAAAGTGCATTAATTTAAAGTGTTTAACTGATATAGTTCAACAAAAATTGCAACTAAAAACGGTTCACCTTGAACTGTGAGACATTGCAGAGGCACTGAGACTTCCGCGCATACCAAAGCAATAAATAACATAACAAACCGTTTTGTGGTTGTTTTTATTTTTGGTTGCTTCTTCTTTGTATAAAAAGACATACATATTGAATTGCTAAAATTGACATTGATAATTTGTGTGCAGCTCTTCAGCTAACAGCCGCGGCGGCAGCAGCACTTGTAAGCTTTTTATCGCATTTCAATGTGAAGGTGAAAGTTATCAGCTGCTTGCAGCGCTTTGGCAATTGTAAATTTTGTTTTTGTATTTTTTTTGTTTGCCAATGGCGACTTTGCTATACCCTTTAAACTGAATTAACCAAAGCGCAATGTTGGATCATTTTGTGATTTATTATTCATAAACATATTTTAGTGTAGCCTTTTAATTAATAAGCTTTAAAAATAAAATAAAATATATGAAAAGTATATTACTTAATCAAATTTTTTTATGTTTGCCCAAACTGTTTGATAGACATACATAGCCTTGCAAAGTGCATTTAAAATTGGTTATCAGCTGCTTGTAACGGCGAATTGGCAATTGTAGAGATTTTGTTATGGATATTGGGCTGAGCTTCTGGTGACTTTGTTAAGCTCTTTTGATTTGATTTATTGAGACTAGACAATAATTTTTTTATTTATATATTTTTAAGCTGTAAAAAATGTATAGTTAACATCATTTATTTATTAAAGATCAAATTTCAAATCGCGCCAATTCTGTAATTAAGATGATATATATATATATATATATTTATATATTAGTATATATATATATATTACTGCATATGTGTTATACCTGGAAATGTGTTTTTAATAATCAATATCAAAGGCAACCTTTGCCAGCTGTTAATAATCAGTTGCACATATCGAATCTTAGGGTATTTTCTTGGAAAACTTTTGTCAGCTGGAAAAATTATTAAACTGTTGGCGGCAAAAGTATAATGAATCTAATTATTTATCAGACAGCCGTTATTAAAAGCCCATAAATCAATTATGGTCAACATAAACTCTTAGTTCTTGTTAACTAAAGCACTTGGCTAAGACAAGCTCAACGAAACCAGTTTGCCAATTAGAACTACAGTTGTTTCAGCGAAAAAACTATAGTAGATTCGTTAAATTGCCTGGCCAGTTTCAGCTGCCTGCTATAATAATAAAGATCTTTAACGATTTCTTTACTTAAATTTATTCAGCAGGGCGCGTGACAATTTGGCGGCTTATATGTCAATATTACTATGAAATTGGATGAAATTGTCGCATGGTAAGTGAACAAATTGCATCACATTCGTTTGACACACATTCAATTGTTGTTTGTTTTTTGTTGTTGTCTAGGTACCAGAAAAGAATCGGCACCTATGATAAGCAAGAATGGGAGAAAACTGTCGAACAGCGCATTTTGGATGGCTTCAATAGCATCAACTTGAAGAATACCAAACTAAAAACTGAACTCATCGATGTAGATCTAGTGCGAGGTATTTTGAAAACTAAACTCTTGAGTTATTCGTCTCTTTAATTTGATATTGTTTTCGGCTGTCAACAGGCTCGACATTTCCCAAGGCTAAGCCAAAGCAAACGCTGCTCACCGTCATTCGTCTGGCCATACTTCGATATCTGTTACTGCCCCTCTACGCACAATGGTGGGTCAAGCAGACGACACCGAATGCCTTTGGCTTCATACTCTGCCTGTACGTCACACAATTGATCAATTGGGCTGTATACATTATGCACAGCAATCGTCTAGTGCCGCTGGCTTATGTGCAGGAAACGAATGGCACGACGACAGCAGGCGCTGCTGTCGATAAGCAAACGGAGGAGAATGCCGATTTGCTTAGTGCACTCCTAATACCCTGTGCGCTTAGTTTGCTGATTAGCTTAATACACTCACAGATTGTGGCAACGAATACGGCGCCGGGTGTCAGCAATAAAAGCAAATTGCGACGTTTTTCCATGTCCACATTGGGCGAGAAACCAAATGCGCCCAGGGAGCAGCGTTTAAGGCGACGCAAGAAGTTTGTGCGGCAAGTCCAGATAATAATACTATGAAATCATATGCCTCAGCTTATTCATATTTTATAACCTACAGCTTGCGACAAGCCGAATCCGACGATTCCCAGTCGAATAGTAATCATGCATTGAGCACGCGACGTGCCAAATTGCCGCCCCTTAACACTGAAGCCAGCCCCGACTCTAAGCCCTGCAATTGCAACACAGTTCCTAGTGAGGAGATCTTCCCTTCCACAACTGCCATAACCATACATCATCATCATCAAGCAGCTGCAGCGGATAGCACAACGCTAAACGATCCGCTCTACAACCTCAGACAGACGGCAAATTCAGCATCCGAAAGCCCGCACAAGAAACGCAATGTCAATTGGCATACGCCCATACAGATCTATGCCACATTTGAACAGAATGAGCTGCCCTCGTCCAGCATTGAGCACAACAAAAGCAATGGCCCAGCTACAAATGGTGCACGTCTGGAGCCCAATTATAGGCCAGCAAATCGAAGTATTGGCGAAGACGACGGCTTCGAGAGCCTGAACAACAAAAGCTCCAGCGGCGAGGACAACAACCATTCGCCCAATGTCAACAGTGCTCCAAATGCTGGCAGCACAACAAATGTCGTCACAGTGCCGCCAACTCATCTCCGTCTGCGTCTCAATGTGAGCAGCAGCAACAATACGACAGCCGATTCAACTGATAAAATCACCCATGAATCCACCAGCAGCTGTGCGGAATCGGACGAATGTGACGATGCGGATATTATATCAAGTCCAGCTTCAGCTGGCACACAGGAGTGCAATACATCTGCGACCGATTGGCTAGGCGTCACAACCAACAGCGAAGATTGTAGCTATACATCCGAATTGGATCAATCCGATGGCGGCTATAGTAAGCATCAGGCATGCAGCGATGAAGAGATGCCAGAACTGGACATAACGCCAACGACTATACTTAATCCGCACAGCAGCCTGGACCGCAGTGAGTTGGAAATGATTGATATTATGATTCCTCAATGAATAACCAATTTCTAATCTTTCAGTTAGTTGCACCATCTGGGATCAACGCGATGCCAAGAAGGCCCAAATGTCTGTCTTGGAAATAGCTTCGTGCATTATCGAACGCGTCGATTCGCTGGGCGTGACCAATGATTATATTTATATAGGCGTCTTTTTCTCGTTTCTGCTGACGTTCATACCCACATTTTGCAGGCTATGCGAGGTACGTGACGTGGCTATTAGTGTTTGCTAACTCTGCTCATATTTAACTTGCCATTTTCTTTTTCTTGCCAGATCACAATTGATGCGGATAAGGCTAATGAGATAAGCTATTTCTATATGCCACAATTGCTGTGGAAGAAGTCGTCGTCCTCGTTTTTTACACTATTAGGCTTTGCCTTTGGCGAAGAGCAATGGGAACGTACAGTGCTGGCGCTGGGCTTTGTGCAACGCCTCTGCCTGACGCTTATATTGTTTATGATATTCGCTGTGGCCGAACGCACCTTTAAGCAGCGGTAAATTGAAACAAATTCGCTTTGTTTTGTGCCTTTTCTCATGCCCTTTTGCGTTTTTCTTTTTAGCTTTTTGTATGCCAAGTTATTTTCACATCTGACTTCCTCGCGACGTGCTCGCAAATCGAATCTGCCGCATTTTCGACTCAACAAAGTGCGCAATATTAAGACCTGGCTGAGCGTGCGCTCCTACTTGAAGGTACAGCTATATTATACACCTTAAGCTCGTGACTACATATGCTTCTGTTGATTTTCTAGAAACGCGGTCCGCAGCGTTCGGTTGATATTATTGTATCGGCCGCATTTATAGTCACTTTGCTGCTTTTGGCTTTTCTGAGCGTGGAGTGGCTAAAGGATTCGGTTAATTTGCATACGCATCTCACGCTGGAGGCGCTCATTTGGTCCATTACGATTGGCATCTATTTGCTGCGCTTCATGACGCTTGGCCAAAAGATTCAGCATAAATATCGCAGCGTTTCGGTATTAATAACTGAACAAATCAATTTGTATTTGCAAATCGAACAAAAACCTAAGAAGAAGGAGGAATTAATGGTCTCAAATAGTGTGCTAAAGCTGGCCGCCGATCTGTTAAAGGAGCTCGAAACGCCATTCAAGATCTCTGGTCTCAGTGCCAATCCATATCTGTTCACAACCATCAAGGTGGTCATCCTATCTGCTCTCTCGGGCGTGCTAAGCGAGGTGCTGGGCTTTAAATTGAAGCTACATAAAATTAAAATTAAGTAAGCCAAAACAAAAAAAAAAACGGAAACTAAATTTAAATAAAACTAATAGAATTAGCGAATGGAGGTACAGCAAGAAACAGACGGCGGCCGAAACGTATGTTATATTTTTGTAGTACAATTTTTTGGAATGCTTTAAAAAAAAAAACAAATAAGAAAAACTAAACAAAAAATCTCTACAATATCTAAATTATCTAAATATAGTTTATATACAAAATAACAAATTTAAATAGTTAATAAATTAAGTAAGCCAATGTTTATGTTTTTGTCATGTGATTGTTTATCAGCGTTAACTATATTAACTATTATTGTACCACTAATGCTATAGGCCACTATATATTTATAGAGATATATCTATATTTCTACATGTACGTATCTGATAGATATTAGAGCGTCGTGCACAATCACATTTAACATTGTTCGCAGAACCTTTTAGCATAGCAAAATATATATGTATATAAATATATACATATATAAATATCTATATACCATCTATAAATGTTTATGTATGTCGTTTTCCTAATTGTAGTCTAAAAGTTAATAACGTTATTCAGTCACACGTTCAATTCAAAAATATTTAATATCTAATAAAATTTACCAAAGTCTACAAATTTATTGTGTAATAATAAATTATTAACAAGTGAAAAGTATTTAAAGTTTGATGATAACAAAAATATAGATTTTATGTATTTTAATTCGTTTAAAAATTAGTTAAGTCAGCTGGTCAAACTATTTAAGCTTTGGCCCCAAAAAAAGCGAATCTGGTATGCATATATATACCTTTGGGATATCAGCGCGAACAGTATTTAAATGTTAGCGCCAAAAAATAGATATTTGTGTGAACTTTCCTGTGAATCTGATAAGCATAAGTTTTTGACTTATTCTCCTAGATGGCGCTTGTACTGAGACTGACAGCTGATCGCGCAGTGCAGTGTGACCATCTTTGGCTTACACACGCCGCCACACCTGACGTAACAGCGTTTTCGCATTTGCTGTGATCTTTAAACTCGACAAATTCCTATTATTTATTTGATTAAAAATAAGCCACCAAACATGCTGAAGCTTCCACTGACTCAACTGCTGAGGCATTCCATGGCCAACCAACTGTTGCGCAGCCAAACGCGCCTTTTACACTTGGGCGAAGCCAATGTGCTCAGCAGCGAAATTGATAAGCAATCAGTCGAGTATAAGGTAAATATGGAAAACACATCAGCTGCTTAAGGTAATATATATATATATATATATCTCCATAAAAGGATAATGCTAGCGAGATGCGCAAGTTGGTTGGAGAGCTGCGTCAGCTAACCAGTCAGGTGTTAACAGGTGGCGGCCCTAAGGCCATCGAGCGTCACACCTCGCGCGGCAAGTTGTTGGCCAGGGAACGCATTAATCTGTTGCTGGACAAGGGCTCACCTTTCCTGGAGCTGAGCACCTTAGCTGGTCATGAGCTGTATGGCGATGAGCTCGTCAATGCCGGTGGCATTGTTACAGGTGTAGGCAGGGTGTGCGGGTAGGCGTGTCACTTGAGGCTGATTGTGATTTATTTACTGATTTATCACTCTCTTCCCTGCAGCACCGAATGCGTGGTGGTGGCGAATGATGCCACCGTCAAGGGCGGCAGCTATTATCCCATAACAGTGAAGAAGCATTTGCGTGCCCAGGAAATAGCTCAGGAGAATCGCTTGCCCTGCATCTATTTGGTTGATTCCGGTGGCGCCAATTTGCCACGTCAGGCGGAAGTGTTTCCGGACAAGCTGCATTTCGGGCGCATCTTCTACAATCAGGCGAATATGTCAGCTCAGGGCATACCACAAATTGCCGTTGTTATGGGCAGCTGCACAGCTGGCGGAGCTTACGTCCCAGCCATGGCAGATGAGAGCATCATTGTGAAGAAACAGGGCACCATCTTTTTGGCTGGCCCACCGTTGGTCAAGGCAGCCACTGGCGAGGAGGTGTCTGCCGAGGATTTGGGTGGCGCCGATTTGCACTGCAAGACTTCCGGTGTCACGGATCATTATGCTGTGGATGATGAGCATGCTCTGTATCTGGCCAGGCAAATCGTTAGCAATCTCAACTTGGATGCAACGAATGCTTACAATGAGCAACTGCAGCATTCCAGTAAACAGAATTTCGGCTCAGCCACGCCAGCAGCAGTTGTGGAGGAGCCGCTGTACGATCCAAAGGAACTCTACGGCATAGTTGGACCCAATCTAACAAAGAGTTTTGATGTTCGCGATGTCATTGCTAGAATTGTGGACGGCAGTCGCTTCACTGAGTTCAAGAAGCTCTACGGCGAGACTTTGGTTTGCGGATTTGCCAAGCTCTATGGCAGCACTGTCGGCATAGTGGGCAACAACGGTGTGCTCTTCTCGGAGAGTGCTCTAAAGGGCGCACATTTCATACAGCTGTGCGCGCAGCGTAAGATTCCACTGATCTTCCTGCAAAATATAACGGGTGAGCAACTACATCATGATTCAGTTAACAATGCCTAATGCTATTTCGCTATAGGCTTCATGGTGGGCCGCGATGCTGAGGCTCATGGCATTGCCAAGAATGGCGCCAAGATGGTCACCGCCGTTGCCTGTGCGAATGTGCCCAAGTTGACGGTGATCATTGGCGGCTCCTATGGCGCCGGCAATTACGGCATGTGCGGTAGAGCCTATTCGCCGAGGTTCCTTTACATGTGGCCCAATTCACGCATCTCTGTCATGGGCGGCACACAGGCTGCCAATGTGCTAGCGCAGATCACCGAGGATCAGCGTAAGCGCGCGGGCAAAGAATTTAGCGAGGAGGAAGCGCAGAAGCTAAAGACTCCAATTGTGGAAATGTTCGAAAGGGAGGGTTCACCCTATTACAGTACAGCACGCTTGTGGGACGATGGCATTATTGATCCAGCAAATACAAGGCAAGTGCTTGGCCTGAGCCTTAAGGCAGCTCTAAATAATTCCGTACAGGAAACCAAATTTGGAGTTTTCCGCATGTAGAAAAATTTGAATGTTAAAAACTTGACATTTACATTTTTCTGTGAGATTTCTATGCATTTGTGAGCATTTAATGTTCAAATATGTTGTAACTGTTGCATTTATTAGTGTTAAGTGAAAATGTGTTGTAAACTTGTTTGCCATTTTTTTGTATACACAATGGGCGTGGCCCGGCAAGTTGTTTTTAAATTTAAATTAAACTGCGATCGATACTGAGTAAAGTTGTTAACAGCATCGGCTTATCGATATGACACAACTATGTTAGTTACTAACAGTGCCTTAATGAGTATAACATTTGCGCGTGTATATTGCTAACACTCAACACAAATTTAGTTATACAACACTAAAGCAGTCGATAACACTACCTGAAAACAGTTCGTCATAGAATTTGGATTTTCTTTGTCATTAATAACGTTGGAATAATAATAAGAGCGGTTAATTTAAATCAGCGGCTATATAAATTACAATTAAATAGGTGAGTGTATAATGGTCCAGTTAAGTGAAACAGTGGCATAACCTGTATCCAAGTGAATAGTCATATACATGTGTGAGTGTGCGTGTTGGTGAATGTTGCGGCTGCGGCGGCTCTTTCTCTGCGTTATTTTTTTGCCTGCTCCATCTTGAGTGTGCATGGCAAAATCTAGAAGTAGCGTCAGCAGAAAAGAAAGTTCAACGGCAAAAAAATGCGAGAGAGTAGCGCGTGTATGTGGCGATTTTAAAATAGCCTTGCCGAAAACTTCAAGTGCACACACTTGGGCACACATAAGTAGGAGAAAATATCTGTACATGATGCGCACCGATGCAGCAGTGTGCGTGTGTAATACTCCCTGTTGTACGCATATAAATGTCGCAGGCGTCTGTGCGCATTTTGTGTCGATGTGTGTGCCCAAAAATAAAATGTGTGCGTGTTGCTGCCTACATATGCATGTGAATGTTTGCGTGTGTGTGGCTTCTGCTGTGCGCTTGCAACAGGAACAGCCATAAAAATTCCACTGCCGCATTGCAATTACAAATCGTCAAGCCTTTGCGGCTAATCTGCCGAGTCGATGCCGTTACCTCTTCTTTCTTTTGGCTTTTGCCACTTAACATTTCTACTACCTGCCGCAAGCGCAATGCATTTTAAGCCAGACGAGTGTTGCCATACGTTTTTCATTTTGTCAGCTTACTTTTTGCATTTCCTGTGCGCTCAGGTGTTGCTTTTGTTTCAGTTGCTGCCAATTCCAATTTATTTGCATGACGTCATCGGCAGTATGTCAACTCGTTATGTGGTCTATCTGTCAACCCCCGCACATTGTTGTCCATCGACGTTTGTGCATGTATGTGTCTGCCTTACTGATAGCTGGTTCAGGTTCGAACGCCTTGGCTTGTTTTTTTTTAGCTGGCTACTATTTTTTTATTGGCTTCATGAAAATTGCTGAGCTAGCGGCATTGACATAGACGCCAACGCTGACGCTCTCATCAAAAACTCGCCGGCTTTTTCACACATTCACAGATCACACGCACACGCACACATGCATGCGGTAATATCTTTATGTTTGTATGAGTATGTTTAGGTGGGGTATGCAGCTCATATGGTTTTGCTTACATTAAGCTAAGATTGGAGTTTAATTATGACAAGCGTGTGCCGATAATCGATTGATCGATGTCGTTAATTATCGTTATGTAAAATTGCTCATTAGCAATATATATCGATGGGCTAGTTGATGAGTGGTTCGGTTTGTGTTGTAGTCGCGCTTAATTAGTTGGCAACGACATTTGCCACAACTTCCGCTGCAGCGCACACACACATGCAAACGGCAATCAAAACACCCCCGCATACACACACACTTATCAGCGGCCATCGACAATGGCAAACAAAAACAAATTCCCCCTTAATGAGTTTTCAACTTGTTGTGTATTTGGGGCAGTTTTGCCTGCCATAGTTGGCGCACTTCAATCAATAAACAACAACAACAACTGCAACAATACGGAATGGCAGAAGGAAATAACATGAATTATCTTTCAGCATGCCGCAGCTTAAATACCCTTTCATATATTTGGCAGCTGTGTGTGGGGTATATAAATTTTGTATATACCGCGATATATATGATAGGATTTTTCTCATGACTAGCAGAACTGTTAGACTTAGATATATGATATTTTGTCAGACTATCGTGCTTGTGCCACTAAATGTGGCATGATATGGTAGTTCTACCCTACCACGCTCCTTTTGTGTTTACTCTACTTTACTCTCTGCTGCGTGACACACTTAGTAACAATAGCATAGTACCCCCATTGGCTAGGGTATAATAACTCGCATTTGTATTAAGTTCCGGCATTTGCTTCCAACTTCAGTTTATATCACAACGCGCCCTTTTTTGGGTTCAATGCACTTGTGGCAAAACTTTACACACACACACACACATGCACACTCACTTGGAGCTGTGGCCTGATATATTTTTAGGTACATTGCGGTTGCGTCTAAACGAAATGCCGGCTAATTTAATTTTCTTTATCAACGTGTCGCCTCTCTGCGTGGTCCACGCTGTGGCATTGGTCATGCTTTTCTTTCTATTTCTTTTCATTTTTTATAAACTTCTGCTCTTGATAATGCCAAATGCCGGTGACTAAGAGCCGCTGCTGCCACTCGAACATCATCGGCTGCGTCGGCAGCGAACCGTTGACAAACCGCAGCAGCAGTAGCAGCAACAGCAGCAGTCGCTGCCACAGTCCAAGTTCATTGTTCGTTGGCTCCAGTCTCGCACGGATTGCGCTGCTATCGCCACATTTTACTGTGTTTGTGTTTGTTGCACTTTATTGTACTTGTTTCTTCTTCTTGCTTCATTCCAATTTTAATTTTCGCCTCTGATTGTGCCTTGGCGGGCGCCCGCGCGTTTGCATGTCGCTTGCATTTTACGCTCTCGTAAGTTTTCTGGAGCTTACAATCGTTTCAAACCATAAGGAATACGAGCGTGTTCTTCAATTATATTAAATAGTGCGTTTCATCTGAAACTTGCTCGTGTACGCAAAGTGTGAAAAGAAGTTACATAAATTGTTGGTAAGACTTTTGTAAAGGATGATTGGAGGATGTAGCTAAACCTCTCTGAGCTCCCCTTATGATTTCCATCTATAGTTTTTCCTTTAGGGTGGAGTAAAGGAATAGCAGTAAAATCTTGTTCTATATACTTATCTTTCTTATATCATAAAATATCTTTTCTTTTTCTCTTTTCTTGAGTTGTCTATTTTTACCGTTAGACACTTAGTGCTTCTATCAACATTTACACGCACTTTCTCTCTCACACATAGTTCTTAGCTTAAAACATCGCCTTTCTCTGCAGTTCTCACGAATCCCAACAAGGTCTTCTGCCACTAACTATCAACATTCACTTGCACTTTCTCTCTCTCTCTCCTCTGTAATTCTCAGGAATCGAAGTAACGCCATTTTAGCAATCTCGGTGTTTATTTGTCACTGTTTATAGACAATTTGATTAGTTTTTGTTTTATTGATACTAAAGAAAACGTGTTTTGCTGAATTTGATATACGTATGTGTGTAGGCTGTCAGAACTGGGTACGGAATATCTGCTAGTTGTTTTAATTGATGTTTTGTAAACACACTAATGCTTTGATAACGAGTCAGACTTTTAGAGCAATTATTATGTTGGATTATTTTTTAAGTGAACGATAACAAATTGATTGTGATTAATTGTTGTATGAAGCATTTTCGAGCTGTTGTCTTAAGTGATTTTATTCCAATTCCAATTGTGAACATAGTCGCTTTCTATTTATAGGCTGATTAACTAATCCAAATGCTTTGTTTTGGCTTGAAAGTTCGACTTAAAACTATTCATTTGATTCGCAATAGAAGAAAAAGTCTCAGGGAATTAGATCTAGATATGGCATAGTCATTCAAGGCATTTGGATATCGTAAGCATTTCGGCAAAGCTTCTCATAGGCTTATATTTATGCAAAATGCTCAACACACCAATCATTCTTTGTTAATATATGCAACAATTTCGCTATCTCACAAAACTTGCGTTAAGATAATCGAAAGGCTGTGACAAATGCCGAACAACAAACGTCTTTTGTGTCTATTCAGCATATTTATCTGCTGACATTCGAATTGTTTTTGCTTTTGACGCCATTAGAAATCGATGTTTCACCTGAAAGCCAATTAACTGATTGATTCGGCATAGAATATAGGCGTTTGTAGCTCTTAAAATTAGATGATTCTGCCATGTGTCATGAGTGGAACATCTGAAGTGATGAGATCGCTGCTGATGATTTTGAGTAGGCCTTGATTTAAATGGAATTTGACAGTGTTTTATTTCTATCATCACTTAACGTAGCTTAACGAAAAATTTGAAAAAATTAACTAAAAAAATATTTTAAATGTGCCTAAAATAAAACCACCAAACAGGAACTTTAGCAAGAATTAAAATAGGAAACAACAAAAAATAATGTCAAACCGTATGTAATATACAAATTATAAAAGGCAATTAGTCGTCGTCGCAAAGTAAAATTTGGTCAAAGTAGTAAAAGCAAATGTTGCATACAACTTTCCTGTGTGTACATGTGTCTCTCTTAGTCTCGTGCCACTAGTAATCAACTGCATGCCACATGCATGCCACTGCTGGCTGTTGCATTTGATTGTTTCGTGTGTGTGTGTGTGATTATTATGATCTTGATATTGAAGGCACGCACATGTGCAACGCTTCAATGCACAAATAAGCAAACACACAAAAAACTATTAAAAATGAAAGAGAAAAAATTAAGCAATTATAAGCTGAGCCATATAATTAACAGCATTAACCACTCCCACACACCTATCCTTATATGTACTTTGGTTAATTGCAAAAAATAAAGAAATAATATCTACTTATATTTTTCTTTTTTAGAAACGAACAACAAGAGAGCAGAATACAGAGACATGGCTGTTAACGTATACTCCACAAATGTGACGTCCGAGAACTTATCGCGTCACGATATGTTGGCCTGGGTGAACGATTGCCTGGCATCGCAATTCTCCAAAATTGAGGAACTGTGCACGGGTAGCTCTATAACCTTCAACGATCTATTGAACTGTGTAAATTAATTGCTGTATTTTGTTGTTGGTTTCGTGTCCATATTTAGGCGCTGCTTACTGTCAGTTCATGGACATGTTGTTCCCAAATTCAGTGCCCGTCAAGCGTGTCAAATTCCGCACAAATCTGGAGCATGAATATATACAGAACTTTAAAATCTTGCAGGCGGGTTTTAAAAAGATGTCGGTGGACAAGGTAAATTCTATGTGCTTTTAACTCTCGCTTCCTATCTCCTTCTCTCTCTCTATCTCTGCTATTTGCTCTCTTGCTCTTTACATCGATTTTGTTAAATTTTTACAATATTTTATTTGATTTGTTCAATGCTCGAGTTTTTTAGTTGATTAATTTTTGATTGAAACACTTTTTGCACACTTAACAAATTGAATTAATTTAATAGCTCAGTGCTGTGTGTGTTGTGATGATCTTTTGTGCACGCCACAATCATTGTAATTGTAATAATAATTATTATAATTCGTTTAAAACTTACAAAATTTGATCAATTTTATTAGACTTTTGAAACTTTTTTGATATTTTATTTGAATTAAAAATTTGTGTAACATGAGACTATTAGGAAAGTAGAAATTCCATTTGAAATTTGAAAATATTTTACTCGAAAGTAAAGCTGATAATTGACTTAAAGTTATTAAAAATTTATTTTTCATTTAAATTAAAATATATATAAAATCAATTGAGGAACACAACAAACATTTTTATAAACAAAATCTTGCGACAAGTTTTATGTACACTTAACTTTTATATGTGCGTAACTAACTGACAATTTCCGTTACAAATCAACAACAACAACGACAACAACAACAATGCAAATGGCAAATAAAACAACCACAACAACAACAACAATATTTAAAACATCGACGATAACAACAATAACTACAACAACAACATCCACGACGACGACAGATAATACCAGTTGATAAACTTATTAAGGGACGTTTTCAAGACAATTTTGAATTTCTGCAATGGTTCAAGAAGTTTTTCGATGCAAATTATGATGGACACGAATATGATCCATTGTCGCAGCGGAATAACGTGAAGCTAGGCAGCGGTGGAGGCGGCAGTCATACTGGCAGCGGAATCGGCAGCAGCATCAATGAACTGCACACCGTACACCGCCGGCAGCAAGTGCAGCACTCATCACATTCACAGACACAATCGTCGCAGCATCCGCCACTCGTCAGCAATGGGCGCACTGTCTCGATGCGCAGCAAAACGGGTATGGGATCGCTGAGGAATGTTGTGGAAGATTTTGAAATTGTTAAGAATGAAAAAGAAGCTGTTGACGGTGATGGTCGCTGTATGCGAGTGTTTATTCTTTGTTCTAATTACTTTCATTTTATATAAAAAAAAAAAAACAAAAAAAAAAAAAGAAAAACGAACGTGAAGCACGCGGAAGCGTTGACTGCATACCACGAAAGGCACGCACACACAACAACACAACACGCACAACCAAAACTCCAATAAGGAAATTGGCACATACACACCCACACCTCAACACACACCAATACACACACACACACATGCCCTCAAATACATCGTCTTTTGAATTGTTTGTTTGTCTCTTTGTTTTTAGTGTGCACATTTCTCTCATATATTTATATACTTTTGTTTTTGAGTTGATTTTGAAATTGTGTTGTCTGTCTCTTTAGTTGTTCTGTAATTTCTATTATTTTTTTATTTTTTGTTTTTTGTTGTTTACTCATTTCATTCCAAGTACACTGCATTATTATTCTCTTTCTCTCACTTTCACACATTTTACTTTTAGATAATACCCATTGACAAATTGATAAGGGGTCGATTCCAAGATAATTTTGAATTTTTACAATGGTTCAAAAAGTTCTTCGACGCCAATTACGATGGCAGAGATTATGATGCCAGCGCTGTACGCGAAGGTGCACCAATGGGCTATGGCCCTGGTAATGCCAAATCTCTGCCAGGCACAAGCAGCGGCGGCGGCGGCGGCGGCGGCGTTGCTGGCTACAGGCGTGTGCCAACAGCGACGGCAACACGGCCAACAGCAGCAACAACAACGACAGCCACAAAGCCCAGTATGTTCTCTTGGTTTGGTTTCGTTTGCTTGCCAGTCCACTCTACATAATAACAACAGCATTTATATTATATGTAGCCAAATCATTTTGTTGTACATATGTTAAATATTACTCATCTAAATCATAACAACTACAACTAATACTAACGTTAACAACTACTCACATCTATATCTACTCTACTACTATAATTTAACAAAACTTGATTGCACAAAATATCTCAAAAAAATTGAAACTCAACAAAGCGCTACTTGAAAGCCAAACATTTGACGTGCTTCACGTTTGTTAAATATTCAATATAGACTCCATAAATAATTGCTAACAGTACATTAACTATCATATATATAAAAGATTAACCTATTTAATATATTTCTTTCACAATCCAAGCAGTTTCTAAGGTACCGCCACGCACAAACAACGCGACGCCGCCGAATAGAATGACAGTGGCAACAACGGGAGCTGTTAAGAAAAATGATGCGGTTACAGCGCAATCGAATCAGCAGATCGAAGAACTGTCTAATCAGGTTCGTCCTGAGGTGGAAGTATGCAACTAAACATTATTTATATTGGTTTTGTCTGTTCATATCATCCTTTCAAAGATTATGGATATGCGTCTGAATCTGGAGGGTTTGGAGAAAGAGCGTGATTTCTATTTCTCCAAGCTGCGCGACATTGAAATACTGTAAGTGAAATTAAATCTTTTAATTACAATAATTAATACTCTTTAAACATTTTTAGATGCCAGGAAGCTGATGAGGCCGAACCAGCTCAGTTAGTTCAAAAGATTTTGGATATTCTTTATGCAACTGAGGTAAGCGAGAGTGTCTTTCGTAATTAAACAACTTGCATAATCTAATTGTGTTTTGGCACCACAACAGGATGGCTTTGCGCCACCAGACGACGCACCACCAGAGGATGAAGAATACTAAAGTATATAGTCAACAGCCCACGATTAATTGTTTGCTGCATACAATATCAGAAAGAAAAACAAAACAAAAAAACGAACGGATTACATTTTAAGTCAAATTGCTGCGCTAAACAAACTTTTCAAACTGAAACTAAATTCAAAAAATATAACAAACTATAACTTTATACAAGTGGAACCAAACTAACCAACGAATCAAACAAACAAACAAAAAAATACAGACAAAGCAATACACTCAAAAACGTATACACTCACATACAAATAGAGAGATAACAAAGGATATTACACTGGAAGGAAAAGTATTGTATGGCAACAACAAATACACACAAGCATATAGTATATATATATAAATATATACATTACACATGTACACTAGTTATTAAAAAAAAGAATATTAATTCAAATTTGGCCTAGTAATTATGTAAATTATCCATTATTAAATGACAATAGGCAGCATACCGATCGAACACGATTATTGAAATATATTATAGCAATTATAATATATGTACAACACGTTAGAAGAACTGCTCACTTTTGTTGAAGACAAAGCTGTGTTAAGTTGCCCAAGCATCTGCAATTGATCGATCCAATTAACAATATTTAAAGAGAAACCCATTCGTGTTCTGTCGGCTGCTGCTATTGATATTTAGTAAATTAGGCGTCAAAATTGTTTGTAGTCGGACAACCACAACAAAACATCACAAAAACAACAGCAAGCAAACACGTCACACAAACTGGAGTGACGTGACACACAAAATTGTTAAGAAGAATATTTAATTAAATTTATAACAATTAGTAATTGTTTTTGTTGTTGCTGTTTCGTTTGTTGATTTGGTTTTGCTGTAAATGCGAATTTCTTTTTTTTTCTGAACAAAAACATGAATTTATAAGTTTTATTTACAAAATTTTCATTGACTTTTTTGTTTTTTTGAGTGTAGTTTTGTGTGTGTAGTGAAATCAAAGTTGGAAAATTGTAAAATGTGAAGTTTACGTAGTTTATGCAGATGAGTTTGGTATATTTTTTCAGTTTCTCAACGTTTTTCTTTTCAACATTAACTAATCATGTGGAGTGCATGATGAATCATGAATATAGTAGTATCTAAGCCAATTTTTGCTCTATCAACCACCTCTTTTTTATGTGTAAAAATCCGAACTTTAAAAAATTTAAATAATAAAACGAAAACAACTTGCTAATTTCTAAAAAAAAACACAAGTAACCGTTTCTTATGATTTTTTATCTATAAACAATTTAATATGAATGAAATTTATTTATACAGTGAATTTTGAAACATTTTCTAAATTTTGATTTTTCCAAAGCTGTAAATATTTTGTTGAAGCTTGTAAAATCATTACTAAACATTAATAAATTTATAAAGTATACATACAAATATATAGATATATACATTACATATACTTACATACATATAATGTATGTGATTCGGGCTACAAAGCATTTATTTATGTGTATGTATAATGTTCTATAAACTAGAATAAAACAAGTGTTGCTTCTTGAATTCAAAAATTTATCTTCGTGCATTTCTCATTGGACAAACACACTACAAAATGCATTACACATTAAACAAAATGTTCTTTTCATGTATAAAGTTAATTTATTTAACGGCTGTTTGAATGTGCTGCTGCTTGTGGGTGCCATCGCAGAAGGGACGATGCGTAGTGTGTTTGCAGTTGCATAGCCAATAATCGCCCGTTTTCTCCACTTTGAAACGTATGGGCCTGTGGTGAATAACATGCGTTAATAGCAATTAACATACCATAACTGTATAAAGATATTCACCTCAGTTTAATTTTAAGAAATTCATTTCTGTGCGTTCCATCACACAGCGGCTGAGATTTGGATTTTCCGCAGAGGCACCAGCTGTAAGTCTTGTCTGCGTGCGGTCGATTATGTAAACGTGCTTGTTATATTATATTATTTGTGCGTGGTTTAAGTTACCTTTGTCCAAGTGCAGTTTAAATGGTCGCTTATCGAATACGGCGCCATTTTCCTTTTGCAAAGTTGCCGTTTGCTTATCCTCGAGCAAATTTTTTGGTATTGTTTTGGCAGTTGCCGCATCGGAGCTTGATTTGGCGCTTGTGCTGTAACAAAGTTGCTGCAACGAATTTTATCAATATATAAATCTATTTAAGTGCGGGTAAGTAAAACAACCTTCACGACCCAGTGTGTGGGCAGTTTCTGCCTTAATATAATTGACATTTTCGCAAAAAATATATTTTTGACCAACAGCTTAAAAGTAAAAAGCAAGTCTTAACAGCTGTTCCTTATTTCAGTGTGTACCTATTAAAGTAAACACAAAACAAATGTTCACCCTAAACAACGTGCGAATTGGTGAAACACCAAAACAGTATTTAAATACTAAAACCAATAAAACGTGACACACCAACCTGTTGATACTCTTTTGTTTATGAAGTTAATTATAAATATATAATTATGGCTCTTCCAACTATTATTTGTTGGTGATGACTGACACGCAAGATCATTTACCGCCCGCACCCCCCTGAACTATTTTTGATTTCACCATGAAATCCGTCAACTGATAAGACAGACACTTCAAATCCCGGTGACAAATATGACAGCGTTTAGCAGATATGATTTTCAATGCGTCTGGAATAGAAACTAGTGAACGTAACAATTGCATTAAATAACTTGTGCGCTTTATCTCTGAACACAATCATTCTCGGGTTTTTTTAGTTCACGTTGAAATGAAATACATATTTAATAATCAAAAAACTTGGCAACCTTCTACTTTAGCTAACCCCATTTACGTAAGATACTAAGATAAGATGCCAGCAGACTAAGTATTTTTGTTGTTGCTCTTTTTTTCTGCTTTTCTTTTATCAAACGAAACTCATTTACAAGCTGATTAGCAAGTTGTTGTTTGCAATACAACCCTGTGTTTTGTGTTTATTAATAAAAAAATACTAAGCAAGCTTATGCGGTAAGTAAAACCTAGAATTGATCGTTAAATGGATAATATTTATGTCCGGACATCCCGCTAAATGGCACTGTGCGGACGCCTGTATGATATTTCTGCATGAGGGCCAGATCCTCCTGCTGCAGCTCGAAGTCGAAAACATTGAAATTCTCCTCAATTCGCTTTTTATTTGAAGACTTCGGCAATGGCACAACGCCAATCTGTATGAGATAACGCAGGCAAATCTGTGCGCTGCTGCGACCATATTTCTTGGCCAACTGCTGCGCACGCTCATCGTAGAGGAAGGGCGGCCAGTGGCGCGCAGGCTGTGGCCTCGCCAGTGGGCAGTAAGCGCAGATGATCAAGCCATGCTGTTTGGCATGTTGACGCAGTTGCTCCTGCTGGAAGGCGGGATGGCATTCGACTTGATTGACCACCGGCTTAATACGACAATTTTCAAGCACACGCAATGTTTGGGCCGCATTGAAATTAGATAGGCCAATGCTGCGTGTCAGTCCGAGATCAACAAGTTTCTCCATTTCCCGCCAGGTATCCAAGTAATCGACGTCCGTTAGCTCCAAGGTGCCATGCACATTGTTATCGTTGTGGAACTTTTGGCCAATTGGCATGTGCATCAAATACAAATCAATATAGTCCAGGCCCAAGTTGCTCAAGCTCATGCGAAAGGCGCGCTCCACCAGCGGAGGATCGTGATGAATGCCGCCCAGTTTGGTGGTCACGAATACATCCTCACGTCTGATCACGCCTTGGTCGATTTTCTCTCGTATCGCTTTGCCCACCTCATGCTCGTTCTCGTAGACGAACGCGGTGTCAATGTGTCTGTAGCCGATGTCGATGGCATCACAGGTCGCTTGATAGGCTTCCGATTCATACGATTTCCAGGTTCCCAAGCCCAGTATGGGCATCTCCTGGCCATTGCTTAATTTAATTTTTGGCGCTACTTTTGGCATTGCTCTGATAATTTATTACAAATTTAATTTTTTTAAATATATATATTTAGCTTCTTTTTTTTAATGAAGATCCGCGTTTTGTTCCACTGCGCAATCAGTTCCACCACGTCCAAGGTTTAGTGAGCAACTAGCGTGTCGCTCAGCCAGCCGGTTTTAATATACCATATATGTATGATTCAGCAATCGGTACCGTAGTATTGTCATAAAAAAGCCCGCATCTCTCTAAATACCCTGTAAGCATAGGATTGCTCAAATGGTTATGTTAAATAGGTCTCTTTTATACTAGCAAAAATTCTGTTGATATTCTGATTTAAATATTATAAAATATTTAAATTATTTTTATCCTAATTAAAATAATGGAATTAAATAATTGAATTGCTGAACTCCAAAGCTTTTTCTGAACACTATTCAAATTTGTACTTATAATAAACAGACTTCCAGTCAAACGACTTCTTTTGTCACTATTGTCTGCTCTACTATAACGAACTTACTAAATTTCCAGGGTATGTACACATTAGTTACTCGGCAAGCTCTACAAACTCGCTCGCTGAGTCATGCGATGAAAGCACAGCTGTTGCGGTATTTCCCCCTCACAAAAGCTTTCGCTCACGAGCTTTTTTCTCGCGCTTTACCTGAACTTCAAATTCAAATTAAATTTCTTTTTTTTTGTTGTTTTTTTTTCTGCTAACACATAAAAGTTTTTATTTGAATATTAGTTAAGTTTGAAAATGTTAGACATTCAAAGTTACAATGCTGTCCATATGCTTAGGTTCTGTTTGCAACATTTACAGATTATTGTTAAAATATGTTGTAGCTTTGCATAAATTTTTTATGTTTTGGTAATTGTGATTTGTTTAAAAGAGTTCTTGCTTGATTTTCCATAAATATGCATTATATATATATATTTTTTTTTATTTTTTATTTTTTATGCTATTTCTTTAAGATATTTTATTAATTGTTGTTTGTTTGGTGTTGTATTCTTACTGTGAGCTCTGCTGAGCATTTCTATACTCTGCTATTTAAAACTAGTCTATTTGTTAGTTATTATAGGGTATATATACTATGTATATAGGTTGCCAAGCAGCCCATATATATATATATTAATATTATTAAGTAAAATTGTCACGATTGTATTTGTTTAGTTTTTTTTTTGTTTAAACATTGATTTGAACATTTAGTTAGATTGTTTTTGAACATTTACTAAGTTTATTTTTCTGTTGCTCTTACCGATTTATAGCTATTGTTTGCGTATGGCTTAACGGAGGTATATACGTATAGCTATAGCTGGGGTCTTTCATACAAATTTATGCAAAGTTCTTGACAAAAAACTAAAACAGGAGAAAATCTGTATTAAATATAAATAAAAGTCGTAGAGATTCTTTTAAGATTGTCAAATCGAATCACAAGTTAAAATTTGAAATTTTTTTCTGCTTTGTTTTATAGTGTATAGTATATAGTATATGTTGGTATATTAATAATATTTTCTTTTATATTTTCAAGATTGCTCCTAACATAGAAATGCTATAAAATATATGTATATATAGCTGTATATCTAAATATTTGACACAAAAAGGAAACGGTTCTTAGGCTAATTTTTATGGGCATTTAATGGTAATATATATATACGCTATATAAACCCGTTCCATTTTAGACAATGCCTTGGTCTACAATCTACAATTGTAACATTTACACTACATATATGAAGAAGGTATTTCTTTTTTTTTTTTCTGGGAAATTTTACAGTTGTCTATATATCAATGGACGATGGCAACAGAATTTTCCCCAAGGTAGATAAAGTAATTAAAGGCTTAAATTTGTTTTTCGTTTTCATTTCTCTTCTAAAAAATTGGTGTTCTTTGCGTTGTTTTGTAAATCAATTAAATAATATATTAATTATATATATTTATATATATGTTTGTCATATATATGAAAAGTTTCATTCAAAAAATTCGTACAACTTTTTATATATTTTTGTTGCTGCTGTTTTTTGTTGTAGGGAAACCTCTGAAATCGTGTCTTTCGTGTGTTTTATTGTGCATAAGTCAAGAATTATACGATAGTTAAATGTGTAGTTAAAATAAAGTTTAGATATATATTTATATATATACACATATATGTATATCTGCTAAGTGTCATGGTCGTTTAGGGCATAAAGATGTAGCCTACATAGTGGTTCTTGTCTAAGTGGTATATCGTTGTTTGAGAGACCTTCTTGGGAGAGGAGTTGGGTTTATTTCGATACACTAAAAAACTACATTTTGGCTTGCTAATGTTTAATATAAGATTCTATCAAGTGCTCTCTGTATTGAGACACCTTTATTTTCGAAGAACTTTTCTTTGGGTTCTCGTTAAAGTAATTCCTAATTTATGTACACGCAAATGAAGCCTTTTTTTTTTACACATTCTACAACTAATAAGGTCCCTCTCCAGTGTTTTTTGTTATGCTTAAACTAAGCATAATTAATATGTATATTTTTTTAAATTAAAAAAGGTAATACACATTTTTTAATTAAAAATATATTCCTTTTTTGTTTTAAAACAATATAATTTTTTTAATTAAAAAAATATAAATTTTATAAATTAAAGAAATATATTTTTTTTAAATAAAAAAAGATACAAAATTATTTAAATTAAAAATAAATAACACATTTATTTATTTCGAATTTAAAAACCATGTTTAATATTTTCAATTTAAAAGTTAGAAATATATATATATTTCCTAAATAAAAAATGTATAAATTTTTAAAATTAAAAAAAATATATATGTAATTTTTTTTAAATAAAAAAATTTTATTTTTTTTACAAAATAAAACAACTGAAAATTAATTAAAATGATTTATTTATGTAATATATTTATGAATGCATAAATTAAAATTATATAAAATGGTTAAAACAAAATTTAAATAAACGACTTAGCATCTATTTAACTTATTTATATTAATAACTAGACTCAACTAGATTTGATTATATATATATATATATTATTATTTTTTGTATCTTGCCAATTATTTTTATTTAATTTTTTAAATTAAAAAAAATAGATTCCATTCGTATTTTTTGGGTTAGCTGCATAGCCTTGACTGAATATATATATATATTTAAATGGATTTTTCAGTAGGAAATAGATTTAGTACAATTTGTTTCACTTTTTCATTTTGTTGTTGTTGTTGTTGCTGTTGCTTTCTCTAAATTTTTAGTATCACACACGCCCATTTGTTTTGTTTGCAATTTCCATTTGGGTCTCCAATTCCCAAAACCAAAAGCTAAATGTTTTTTTTGTACTAAAGCAAAAAGTTGTTCCTTTTTTTGTGTTTTTTTCAGTTCATTTAGAAATTGAGATAGTTGTTTTTGTTTTTGTTTAGCCAAGCTTACATAAATATTACTTAGTTGCTGTCTAACATGAATAAAAGTTAATTTTGTTGTTCAGTTTATTAGAATATAAATTTTGTTTTCGTTTTTGATTTTTTTTGGGGGGTTTTTGGCGCTTAGTTTAGATGCACTGGTTGGTCGCTAGCGGGGCAGCAGCTAAAAATCAACTCAGCTAAGCTCATAACTGTGCAGTTAATTGCAGTTTATACTCATCATTAATATATGTATATTCTTCATAATTATTCATAAATTTAAAAGTTTCTGTTGTAGACACTAATTACGCGCTAATACTAGTTGGGACTATGCAACGACTTGATGTTTACGTTTACGTTAATATTTAATTTAGCTTCCTGGTGGGCTCCACCTTCTGTGACATGGCGGTCAACACCCGCTGATTGTCAATCACACGAAAACTGCTAATGTATGAGCGCACCTCGCCCTCGCTCTTGGGTGAAGGCGGTTCCAGGCCTGAAAACGAACATTTAATTAAATGAGTATTTCATAAAGAATGTTATCAACGAAAATAACTGAAGCACTTAGATATATTAAGAGTTATATATAGAAATGTAATTAGTTAAATGATAAATGTTTTGATTGATTCATTGATTCGGTTGTAATGTGTCAATCAAAATAAATTTAATTTGTATTGAATTTTTACAAAATTTATTTTTTGTTGTGTCTGGAGTATTGGGAAAAAACGTTGAATCAAGTTTATAATATCTGACAGGGTTATTTTGAAGGTCCAAAATATTTATACTCATGTTAAAAAGTAAATTTGGTAAAACACTAAATTTCCGATACTTTTTGAACATATAATATATATAAATAGGTTTTATATATATAATTATAAAAATAAATTATTTTCTGATCAGTTTTCAGTATATTCAGTAAAATATGAATAGATATTTAAGCCCAGCTGGAGTTTTTAATTGTTTTTTTATAAGAAGAAAAATAAGACGTAATTTGATACTGACTTTTGGCCATGCCTAAATTTTCAGGGCCTACAAAGTAGCAAAGTTCTAGCTTTAAGTATCAAGCATTAAGGTTTCACAAAGCCAGATTGTTTGACATTGTTATAAGAGCATAAATGCTTCGAGTTAAAGACTTGATTACAGCAATTCTTCTTAAAGGCTGTTACAGCGCTTTTCTTATGCTAAAGTTCAAGCCCAATTATTGTTATAGCCTTAAATGCTAAGCCAACTTACCTAAACTGCGTGAGCGACAGAAGCGTATGGTGCGCATGGTTTGGGCCATCATGTGCATTTTCTCAAAGTTGACGAGGCCATCGAGACTCGTCTTGTTGCCCTCGTGGGCGAAGGTCATGTCCTTGAGCAGCAGCGGCATAAACGGAATCAGCGGCGGTTGCAGCTTGCCAACGAACACACGATAAGCGCGATGATTGCGACTGGGATCGATCAGAGCTTCGAATTCCTGAAAGATTTTACGAAATTTCGACGGTATCTTCTCCCAGGTCTGATGCAGACGTGTTACGGCCATATTCGACAAGCCCATGACAATGGCAAAGAAGGCATTCAGATTCTGGTATTCCTTGCAGCTGTGAAGTAGCGAAATCTGTTGTCAGCACAACTTTACAGCTTAGTTTGATTATTTCATACTTACTAAGCGGCTAGCTTGATGAATTTGCGAACGAGACCCACGCGTTTGCTCAGGCTGGGCGTCGAGACGAGCTCGGTGACAATCCAATATTGCACCTCATTGAAGCGCCTCAAAAACACATCCAAATTGGCCGTAATCTGTGCAGAGAGA